GTTTTTAGTTGTGTTCCAGTTTAACGTTGAATATTATTTATGATTTCAACTTGTTTACTTGATTGACCTATTGTCAAAAGTTGAATATCATACACTACTTTTTCTGGTGTCACACCATGCTACTGGTTTTTACCCAGTATTTCTTATTTCTATGGCAGTTTCCTACTATTTGTTGCTAAATATTGCTGAAGACACTAAAGTGGAATTGAAAATGGTAAACAGAGGCATAGTATCACTACTCCTCAGAACTTTGGACAGAGACTTACCAGAACTTTTGATTCTTGTTGTGTCGTTTCTCAAGAAGCTGTCAATCTTTGTGGAGAATAAGAATGAAATGGTAAGAATCTAAGTTTTTATATAGAACATTGTGTTTGCATTAAGCTTCATAGAATATTTACACTGCTTTAATCATAAAGAATGCTTATAATAAGTACGATTTGTGATATATGTTTAAAGACCCATGAAAATTTAATACATTTATAATAGTAGTGTATTAATTACATAATGTTTCCATATAACTGGCATTGTTGGTAAAATTAACGTTTTAAGTAAAACATTTCTTTAATATTTTGTATGGTTTCTTCATGAAGTTAGTAACAAATGTTTTAACAAGAAAATAAAAGTATACCTAAATTACAACTATTTTAGAAAAAAAGAATTGAAAATCATTATTATAGTTTCACATTTTACAGATTTGTGATTCAGATATCAATTATTATTTTATATAATAGTTTATGGCACCAACAACAAATCTGTAGATTATTTTTTATATGAAGTTAAATAATAATAAGACATAATAATTTTTAACAAATCTTTCATCACTAGCTCTTCATAGGCTTCCAGTGAGAAGGCTATGATAGCATCTTTACCACACACCTTAAGAATTATGGCAACCTTGTTAGGATGTTATAATGTCACCATTGTCACACAAACAATTAATCTAAGAATCTTGATATGCTTGTTTCTTTAACACTTATCTAATTTTGCTTAAAAATCCAAAAATGTAACATTGAGATGGTAGATTTCCAAGTAAAATTTAACTGTACAGTTTTGTTTAACATTATAGTTGAAACAACTGTATGAAATAGTTAGTTATTTAATATGCAATTTTATTCTTATAATATTGTATTATAGCCTTGCCTGTCTCTGAATTTTTTCAGTTTTAAGTAATTAAGTTAAATACAAAATAAATTGCAAAATTCTTAGCTATGGCTGTACTTTACTGATATTAACACTCATTTTATTCCTTTTACAGGCAGAAAAAAATATAGTTGAGAAAGTGGCTCGATTAGTACATTCTAATCATGATGATTTGTTGAATGTAACTTTGAAATTACTTCTAAATTTGTCTTTTGACCTTGACCTGAGAAATGCTATGGTAAAAGTTGGTCTTTTACCAAAACTTGTCAAACTTATTTGTAAGTAATCATTGTTAGTTTAAGTAATTAACAATAATACAGAATATTATTATGTACAGAAATGTACAAATGTACAGCAAAAGTGTTAATTTTAAGGCCTATTAATTAATGCGTGTGTTGAAACGTTTTATATGTTGTAATGTTAAATTGCTTACATATGTTGTATGTTGTAAACATTTTTAATGCTAAACTAAATTACAGATCATATAAATATACAAATATGTCATAAGTTGCTCTATTAATCTTTAGGAAATCATTAGTAGAAATACTTTATTAAAACATATGATTTTTATGTACAACAGACTTGTAATGTATACTAAAAGCTTGACAGATTTAGTAAACATTATGATGCAAAACTTCACATATACAAGTTCAGTCAATCTGATCAAGCCCATATGTTTATTTTTGTTTTTGGACAACCACAGCCTCCCAGACAACCTCTGATACAGGATGGATTGTTCGACAAGCTGAAAATTTCTTTAAAATCGAGCCCTGAATAGTTATGGAAAATTACTTCTATGGAGTATAACCTTAAATACTTTAAGAATGTAAAGAAATGAGATAACACATTATTCTTATGATATACAGGGTGTCCATAAATTCTTTTTACAATTTAAAAAATTTATTACAAAGGCAATGGATAAGATATCTTTATCAGACTTGTTGTATTGTACTCATTGCACGAACTGACGGACGTGATGGTGGATCTCTTCCATACTTTGTTCTGTAGTTTTGTTGAGTCTGCGTATCCGATTTTGTCTCAATAAACCATGATACACATTGTGCATTCTCTTGAGGAGTAGCCATTTCTTAGGGCTTCATTCAAAAAGATACCTCTTTAATCTGCAGGATGCCTGAAACACAAAAATGCAATGTGATTAAAAACTTTGAAAACCACTGAGTACAATAGAACAAGTCTGATTAAGATATCTTATCAATTGCCTTTGTAATAAATTTTTTAAATTGTAAAAAGACTTTATAGACACCCTGCATTTTAATTTCAGAACATTTTTTTGTAATCATGGTTTACATTAATGCTCATCTTATGATGATAATGAAGAGCTATTTGAAACAAAAAATAGATCAGTTCTTTTAGTATTACTCTTGCTGTCAATAGCTGATGAGAAAGTATTACCAAATCTATCAGACATATTCCAATAAAATTCACTAAATTTTACAAATAAATTTTTTTTCTAGTAATCACATAGAAATGTTTGTAATGTATTTAGAAATTTTAATAATTGAAGTAAGTGAAATGTTTCTTAAATTAATATAAATTTTTCATCTAGTGAAAAAGATTTAATTCAACTAAATGAGACTTGTTTACTATAATGAACAGTGTAAAGTTATTTAGATATCAAACTCAGATTTTTTTACGTTTTGTAAAACACAGTGTAAATGTGTTATTTTTTTTATAAGTTTTACTGTTTATTACTTTTAAGTAAATAGGGGAAACTTCAGAAATATTTCATATCATTAGTCAAGAGACATTGGTTGGCAATGTAGTAGAGCTTTGTATTTTGGAGCTGGCAAGCTGGATTTAACTCCATGCAATAACACAAAATAGTCTCTGCACTTATAAGCTGTTAGTGTACTATAAGAGTGACAGTAAGTTCCTCATCATGCATGGTGTATACTTCTGATTACCTGTTTACATTCTGCTTCATCAGGGATAGTGGCATATAACCTTAGTACCTTTGCTATAAATACAAATACAGTAACTAGAACCATATTCCAAAAGAAGTAACAAAGCTTAGAAGGAACAATTCGATTACATTATGTACCAAACATCTGGTCAGCTGAAATTGGATAATTGCAAGATGATAACTTGCCTCTTCACAAAGAAATGCTATTTCACTTACATGTCTGCCTATTAGATTTGCATACCACCAGACTTGAGCTAACTCCTACCTAAATTCATGTGTTTAATGTGATCTGCATTGCTGCACAATGGCATCATCATGTGAGAATAACCTTCCACCAGTAGGAAAATGACACAACCTCTGTGTGTAGTAACTTCCCCTATGCACTTGCACTCATGATAACTTCATTTTTTCCTCGGCATTACTTTGAATAAAGATGTTCAAATTTATTGTTTAAATTCAGTTTGAGGTTTGCATTCATCAATGAAACTTTGGTTTTTGTTTTACATTGACTTTTCTTTTGTTTCTAAAGCATTGATTTTTATCTTAAATCCCATGTGAGTGATGATGTTACTCACACAAACCTTATTACTTCTATAGCTTCTCAAGTCTCGTTAACTGTTGGGGACATTGCAACCTTTGTTCAACATGTTGTGGATTACCACATGCTCACTACACCTCCCACTCCTGTCCCTTCAACCAATGTTCTTTCTCCTCAGTGGTGAACAGCGTATTGGACTATGAATTTAACCTGATTTGCTTTAGTTAGTGCCTTACCATTCGAAGAATGACCTTCACCTTCCAGTCTCTTTCTGGATATCATTCTCATGTATGTTCCTTTTCTTATCTTTTGCCAATGTCTTTTAATGTTGCCCATTTTTTACTCCATGAAACCAGTTCTTGGGATTGTGTTGTCTTTCCTCCTTTCTTGTTATTAGGGTTTATGCTGTCTCCTTTTTCTAACAGCTTCTCACTCACACCCACATGTTTCGCCCCTCTCACATTCGTGACTCTTTGTCCCAACTTACAGGAATTCTTCCTTTCATTTCTAGATTCTCTGCCTTTGGTATCAATTTAGCCTGCTTGGGGATTCAGTCCCTTGCCTTCTACTTTGCTCTCTGGTTCCCCATTTTTATATCTTCAATCTTTTCCCACCACCAGCGCTTTTTTTTTTGTAAAAAAAAAGAGATGCCAGTACTCATATCTTGATAAATTGTAAAAATTACTCTTCCTGCACCCCTCCCCCTTCTCTATTCAATTTGTGATAAACTTTTAATAAAAAAGTTTATAATAAAAAAACATAATAAAAACCAAAATGTTTAACATTTATAGATGCCCTTTATTTTTTTAAGTTTTAAAGAATTTAAAAAATTAAAATGTACCAAAATTAGAGTTTCATAGAAAATTCCAAACTTTCCTCAAGTTTTCATTTGACAAAATGTCCTGACTTCATTGCTTGCTGTTGGTATCTGTGGCTGAGTGTTATCCTCAAAGTAACCATGACTCAACATATTTTGTAGGGTCGAAGTGTGGGAAGGACAGTCCAACAACTCTGATAAACACAAGTGCTAAAATAGTTTTTGTCATCAACGAAGCTCTGGCCAGGATAATGATCAGGTTCATTTGCAAAAATCCTCGTTTTGAAGGTCATCACACATCAATCCTAGATCCAATACAAATTCTGTAGATGTGATTTTTCACTATAAGTCCTCATATGTGCATTCCTCTTTTTTGTCTCATAGAATCAGGCTTTTTGTCCTGCAATTTCCTTGTGATGGAAAAGTTTTTTCGAAAAGACATCAGCTGTTGCCATCGATTTTCATCAAAGTAGATTATCTCATTGTTAGCCTAATCTTTATATTTTCATTCCTTTTTCTTTTTTTTTTGACTCCGAGAGTTCCAGTTTTATGGGCCGATGTACAGTCAAGTTTCTTATTGCGATTATATAGCCAATCATATTTCTTGCAAAAATAATTTTTTTGGTCCAAAGTCCAGCAGCTAGGTCAGTCATCTTCAGTTTGCTCTTTAATGCCAGATGAAACAGGAACAGAAACTGATGCTGTTAATTCCATTTTTTATGTCATTTCTTAACTTGTTCTAGCTTTTTTATTCACAGGAGGTGAAAAGAAACTTGTGATTTTTTTCATTTTCCAAGTTGCGGTAACTTATTCAAAAATTTGACAATCGTGTAACATCCCTAAATTGTATTATAAAACAGAAAACACATCCAATGAAATTGATGTTCACATCATGACTGATTCATTTGACAGGAGTGGATGGAGGGTGCAGGAATCATGTGACATCAGCAAACGAATTGTCATGTGAATTTGTTGTTCCCACCAAATGAGTCAGTCAAGGTGGGAGCATTAATTTATTTGAGTGGCCGTGTGGCAACGTCACTAAAACATTGAGCTGGTAACCTGTACCAGCACATACCATCACTTTATTGTACTTAAGAGAGGTTTCTGACAAGGTTTGTTCCTTTCTGTATGCCATTTTAGCCTGTTTCACTTCTTCTGTTCTGTTCCTTCTTACTTAGTTCCTCTGCTGTTGGGTTATGTTCCTCTTTACACCTGCCTCTTTTTTGTATATGTGGTCTTCATTGGGGTCTCTTTCTTCACCTAGAAATTTTTGATGATGTTCATTTTTCGCTGGAGACTTGGACTACAGTTGCATTATTATCTTCCTAGGTTTTTTTCTTTCTCAACCTTGTCTTTTGAATCCTGTTCTTCATCTGGATCAGTCTACCCCTACCATTCCCATTCCAGGTTACAGGCTTTCCTATTTTTCTTCTCCTTCTTTTACTTAATGTCTGGTTCATTGCTCTTCTTTTTGGTGGCTATCCTGTCATATCTGGCTTTATGGGTACCCATCTCTTCCTTTTCACCAGCCATTGGTATCAATTTCTGGCAATAGACATTTCTCATGTTTTCTCCCATTGTCTCTCTCTCCACTTCTTTTTGTTCCTTTTCTCCTCAGGCCCGGCATGGCCAGGTGGTTAGGGCGCTCGACTTGCAATCTGCAGGTTGCGGGTTTGAATCCCTGTCACACCAAACATGCTCGCCCTTTCAGCCGTGCAGCCATTATAATGTGACGGTCAATCCCACTATTCGTTGGTAAAAGAGTAGCCAAAGAGTTGGCAGTGGGTGGTGATGACTAGCTGCCTTCCCTCTAGTCTAACACTGCTAACTTAGAGATGGCTAGTGCAGATAGCACTCGTGTAGTTTTGTGCGAAATTCAAAACAAACAAACAAAACCTTTTCTCCTCTTTACAACCCCATAGATGCCTTTGCCACTCCTCTTGACTCCAATCTTCCTCTCTTCTGACTCCCTCTTCCTCTGGTTCTGGTTGGTGAA